GCACAGACTTAGCATCTTTGTGTGCTGCAAAAGATCAATGAAGAAACCAATTTTGGGGCATTCGTTTATACACTGGTCTCGTTGTTTGGCGACTACGTCAAAGCACACGGGTTTCTCTAAACAGGCGACCATGCATCGAAAATACCTGATGGGGAATTTGAACTCCCTGCGCTCACACACAAAAGTGATGTCTAGTGTACTTAGGCATCTGTATGAACCTTGTTCGGGTTTTGTGTCAGAAACAAATAAATAAGTCAGCGGCATTGTTATGGTTGGTGTCCTTGCTGTCTCTGGTTTCATATCTCTTTTCAAGTAGGATGTTAACCAGTAGTTCAATTTATCCTAGATGTGTAGTGTTATTGTTCTGGTTAACCTTACTCTTCGCCCTGATATTTTTGGCCATCACATCTTCTGAATAAATTCTTGGAGCCAGCTTTTGAAGACTTGTTTCTTCATTTCAGCAATTCCAGTCGACTTATCAATTTGCCCTCTTAGCAATATATTGATAAAAATGGTGTTACGGAGGTAACGCTACACTGTGGTATACTTTTACAACTGAATCGGCGATTGCATTTGGCGATCACATCCGTCTGTCAAAATAACGCCAAGTAAACGAATGACGTTTTTTGACGATATGCATGTCATCGGAATTCTTTCTCTAGACCTCAGGTAAATCATTTAGACAGGCAAGGCTAGTTACAAGGTCTCCTTTTCGCGCCACATGTATATATATATATATAATTTGCTTTCGTCCTGTCATGAGTTTTTGGCACCAGATTCGTCACTGGTGGGGGCGTTGACCAATTCACCATGATGCATTCCACATAAGGTAAGAAGGGAATAGGTAGAAGTTAAAGGAAACGCTGCCGTTAAAAGACGTCAAGAGGTCATTTGATTGAACAAAGGGGCGCCCAAATGTCTACCGCTTGAGACTGAAGTCCAGATTGTCTGATTACTGATTAGTCCGGACAAGACAGCTGGTACTGGCACGGCGTCATTTCAGATGACGTAAGCAGGTGGGTTTTGACGGCCTGAGACTCCTATGGCGTTGTTTGGTGTGTAATGCCAAGTTTCTAGAGTGCCTCAACAATCGGCCTCACCAACGCATGGCGAGCCAAAACTCAAACAGCTTGATCACCAAGTGTACATATAAGGTCAGCCAAATGGAATTCCCATCAGTCGTTATGGCTCCGTTTGAATCACGGAATCAACAAATCGTCAAGATTTTACAGACTACGGAAAACTCAAAAAGGACAGGTATCCATCAGACGATGGCTGGCTGCATCACCAGTTCAATAAAGAAGCTTCCAAAGTTTCCATTCCGGATTGCCAAACCCATTGGGAATAATTTGGTAGGCAAGGGATTATTTCATTTTTGCTGACACTTTTATAGGACGCATCACATGGCGATAAAATTTTCAGTGGTTCCGACCTATGGTCGCTTTACAAGACAAGAGTCTTGAGAATGACCAGACTCTCACAAATTTACAAACAAATAAGACAGCGTAGGGAGTTGAATTCTGTCTAGGCCTTCTTTTGTTGCGCTTAAGAATATTTTATACCAAAAACGGAGTAGCTGAGTGCAGTTCAGTTGAACCAACCACAGTAGACACTCTTGTTAAAAAAACTAGAAAAACGTAGGTTAAGACTTTTGGTGACGTTGTATCGTGCTACGCTCGTAGGCGTACTAGGTGATTTTTGCAGCAGCCTACTAGCTTCTCTGAACTTCCTATCTACACCAATAAGTTGCGCCATTGCAACTGAAAGTTTGGAACAATTTTTAGAGCTCTAGACCGTTCTGCCACTGCCAGACAGCCCAGTTTAATGGGCCTGCATACGGATTCCCAACTCCTGTCCACAGTGTATTTGAAGTGATTTATTTCATCTAGTTAATATAAACCGAATTAGAATGCCACTAATGATAAACAGAGGTTGCAAAATTAACTGTAGTGAAGCTCTCGAAATAACTGATCCTTCCAAAAACAGACACTTAGCAGAGAAACCAGTAAACAAATAAAAAAGAGGCAACAGCCCAAAGGCAGAACATAAATGAACTTCCGAACAATTCATGTGCTCTTAGCCGTCTTCAACACACACCCTTTTTTCAAGATAGACAATTCGATAAGAAGCACCTGGTCCACTTCATGTGTCCCAGTTCACTCGGTGGTCACACAGACTCTATGTTTAGTATTCTTCCGGAGACATCAGTGTCACTCCTGTAAAGCAGACGAGTAGATAACTGAGTGTGCGTTGCTAAACACAAGAGGAGGCACACACGTTTTCCACCTCAGAATCAAAAATATGGGAAGAGATCCGGCCATCGCTATTCACTTGGTAGCAAAGATCCCCATGGTCTTGTTTTATCAGACTCTGCTAATTCGAAAGTAACTTTCGATAATTATGAAACGATGCTGGTTGAAATCTATGGCGCGTCTTACCCGACGTTCAAACCTCGTGCGCAACGAGCGTCAATGTGTGCCAGCTGCCTGGTTATGACTAGGCAGCAATCAGTTCAATCAAGAACGTGATGTGTTGATGTTAGCCTCAAAGCGAAGGCGTCAGAGTGAGCCTCTAAACAGCTAGCTAGCCGCCTTATAAAGCGATCATAACAAAAACCGTCTCTTTGGATTTTTTTAATTTTTCCATAATTCTGATTAATTTGCTCCCAAAAGCCACGTCCAGTGACCCAAACGTCAAACAATAAACTTCGGTATTTCAACGCTGAGCGATTGCATAGTAATCTAACTAAACTTAATTTTCCGCAACCATTGCTCTTCATTCGCCGAGAAGTCGGATATTCTCTGCCAGCGGGAAGATTATTTTTTTCTTTCGCCTCTAGCAAAACTTGAAGCGAGTCGGTTTTATGTATTCGGAGTGTGATACGCTCCCAACACAGTTTCCTTTCACAAATAATGAAGAACGTTTTTTAGATATCAGCCTATACAAGACTGGTTCAGCAACCACGAACTAAAGAATTCAAGTAGCATGCGTGCGTAGGCACAACCCAGACGATATTCTTCATGTTATACACAAAATATTCTCGCATCAGTTTGCAAAACTGCGATAAAAATATCAACAGGGTAGAACTCTCCTTTATCCTTCGACAGGACTGCTTTAAACAGATAAGTGGTCACCATAAAGAATATTGAAACTAAGAGAATGACTTTTACGTCAGACGTCCTAAGGATGCATAATGCCATCGCTGATTCTAGTAGAATAGTGTGGACTCAGCAGTACATCGGGCGACTGTTTATCTGCTTGGGGAGCATGAAAAGTAGCTTTTAAGCGCGATGGGGCGGTCATCGTCTGAACTGCAAGAATATGATAAAGATTCATAGGAGGAGCGCCGAATTTTCCGACGACGAATAAAATCCGAGCGATCGAAACACGCTAAAAGGGACGCTGTAGGACAGCATCCATCTGTAGGTTTTCCGGGTCCATATTAGTCTCACTTGTGGCTTGCGGAAAGTTTTGCAAGTGATCTGGCGACAAATGTTTGCAATGAACTGCGGCAATTGCCTCAGGAGGTTGAAAAGATCGCCCAAGTGATGGCGCGGTGTTCGTTCCCACCGAATTAAGGTGTTCTGGTACCCTGCGTTCTGCTCCAACTAGCAGATGGGTTGAATCAAAATCAGAGTGTTTGTGATGGGAACTATAGCGAGTTTTACGGGACCTTGAACGTGACCGTTTGGTAGGTCGGATAAATCGTGCTTTTTGAAGTCTGTGCACAGAACCCAATTGCGACTGTGCCATTTTTCATGGGAACATCATCAATGAATGGTTGATTCGGCAACGTTGGACAGATTAGTGACTTCCCTGGGACTGGTGGCAAAATGTTTTGCAAACTGAATTTCAACCTGACAGAGAGGTCACTGACCGCCAAATCTACAGCCAGTGAACCAACTGAGCTTCGGGGGAAAACTAGACACTGCGGATTTAGATCCTGCCCTACTGCACTCGGCGCTGTTCAGTGAGAACCATTTTATAGAAGCAAATGGGGCTGACTGACGTGTGGTCTTATGTGATGCACCCTGGCGCCGTTTTGCTAGATGTCAGTGCATTTGCAATATATTTTCGTGGTATTTGGAAATGTCGATTAAGACCACGAAAATATCTCCGCGCCGTCGTTTATCCGCAGAAATATTTTGGCTCTACAGAAAGGGCACAATGGGCTTAGGTTTAACCGAATCCAACATGTGGTGTACAGTGCAGTTGAAAGTTGCACTGATAAATGTCAAGCCACAAAACATACGGTTAACTGACTACTAGACAAAACGCAGATCTATGGCGAGAGATTACGTGACATTCCCGAATAGATTCGTATACGGTTTTGCAGCCTCCTTGTGAGTGATGCGTAGACTAAGGGAATCGGTGCTCCGTGAATGAAAAAGCCAGCCGTTGCGAACACAGAAGTCCTTTTGATCTAATAAAAATTACCAATAAATGGAACAAGATTTAGAGAAAAACGTTTCCATCACAGACGCTAATCTGAGGTTCTAGGCAGAAAAAGGCGTTTCTCACATGTTTTACATTGGAACACAGATTAAAAAACACGATACACGTTGACTATGTGCCTAAACGAAGCTTGAACCTGCTGCCTTAACTCGCAGAAAATCCCGAATCAAACAGGGTCTTGCTTGGCATACTCCCGAATTTTTTCGGTGAAGCGGCGTTCAGCCTAGCGTATTTAGTTCTCTAGTAGACCTTTAAATATTTGATGTTTTTCGGTTTGTATGCCAGGAACCATAAAATCTGTTTTATGTGTATCATATGGTTATAGCTGTCGATAAGATCTCTTCAACCAGGAGAGGAAATATCTCTAGTAAAATTATCAGAGCCTACTCAGAATTGCGAGTTTGCCAAATTAACCGTTTGTAGATAAAAGTATGCAGGTCTTGTTTCCGCAAAACACGTATCTATAAAAGTAATGTCGTATTTTATCTCAAAAATTTTCCCAATGTGGAGGAAAAAACAATTTTACGGATAAATGAAGTCCCTGAATGGTATTCAAACTGAAGTCGGGAACAAAGACGTAAGTTGCGAATTGTACTCTAGGAAGAAGCAAGTTATTTCACTTATCTGACTTATTAAACCGCACAAGTTTTCGATCATTAGACATTTATCGGGTATCGACCTACGATTCATCCTTGAAAAAGTGGGTACTACTGAGCGCGTTAGCCTAGAACGCAAATAATAGAACAAATCTACAGTGTTATACCTAAACGTTTACGTTCCATCCCATAGAGAAATCGTGGTAATACATTTTTACCTACATATATTTGCATTTAGTCCAGCATATCAATATAACCAAACTGCTTAATTCTGCGGATCATTTTTTCTGTTAGACAAGGCTATTTAAACATTCAGTTTCATCGCTAAGTTTCACTGACTACCCGTCAATCTAATAGACTTTAGTTTGTTCTGATATTTGACGTTCAATATCCAGTTTGCGCCGTAATCATCAAGCCCCGGATTAGCATGTCTTGAGCCACAATTAACTTAAAAGGTTAATTGTTCTTTTTTCTGAGAATGCATTTGAGTTAAGAAATCAGGGAAAACGGATGCCGCTCTCAAGAACAAAGGTGAATGTGGAAAATAGTCCTGACACTTTTGAACCGAAACATTATCGTTAATGTTTTCTAGTCTGATAAATCGATCATCTGGAACATTCCTCACTCCTCTAATACTACGGCCTAAAATGCTCTGTCGCAGGTAATCAGGATTCATACTTCCGGTTTTGTTACAGCTTATGTTTTATGGTACAGGCACCGGTTTCCTGTTTCTTGGCTAAGATATTTGTGCGCCAGTTTTCATCGCTATTTGATTACAACCACATTGTTTTACACACAAAATGGGAAAATAGGAAAAGGAAAAAAACGAATTTCTGCCAACAACCCGGTGTTGGCGGTTGAACCAACATTGTTCAGTCAAGTCATTTCTCCTACAAAAGAGTTCTTTTTTGCGGAGGCGCTGGAAAAAACCGTAGGAGGTGAATAAATCTTACGAGGTGGCTTTCAAAACCTTCCAACAGTTTTTGCTTAATCGACAACTTACGTGTACGATATTCTTCCTTCCAGCAGCAGAAACAGAAAACAATCAACTAGGTAAAAGCGGCACCTTTAGTGCCATATTTAATCATATTTTCCCCCACTTCACCAGTAACATTTAGGCTGCTAGGTGGCCTGGTCATTAATAAACACTTTTTCTTTATACCTGTAATTTCCGGAGTGCAACTAACTTGTGCAATTGTTGTGCGTTGCGTAATAGTGCCTTCCTATTTACGTCAGAGCGGTTACAGCCAAAGAAGTTTGAACACTGATGTTGAGCTTGTCTGATAGAGCAGAGTTCTACCAAAAATGTATGTGGAATCTGTTTTCCCATGCGCACTAATCCGGTCTCAAACTCTCCTTACGGCCCCCGAACAGTTATTTTGGAACTGAGTAATGATGTTGTAATGCTAATATCATTCTCAGATGTTCTGCCCCATGTCACGCACGCATCCGCACAGAAACCTCTGCTATCATCATGAGTTTACCTTGGATCATAATTTCCCAACCAATGTTTTTTGTTCTATTTCAAGTGAATTCACCAACAATCGAAGTAGATTAAGCACTAAAAAGCCAAATCTATATGGAAAAATCGATTCCATTTGGGCTGAACTACACATTTTCAGACCAAATATGCACGCCTGGTCATTGTGTTCGAAAGGTGTACTTTGTTTACAAGCCTAACACCCATCGCCCGTTCAGTATCAACAGCAACATCAATGCATCATGTCATATTATTGATTCGCACAGCGAATCTGTCATGTGATGCTTTGTCAACAAATGGCTGCTTTTGGGTGGAGCATGATGGTCAGCGTCTACATAGTACAGCAACGAGAGAAGAACGAAGGGCGTTAAAAATCCCGATGTTGAGGACGAAATTGCCTTCCAGATCTCTGGTAATTTGCTGCGCTAGAGTAACGACCAAACACACCTTACTTTAGCGAACTGGCAGCCAATATGGACAACTTTTATCTAGCAGAAGTCGTTCTGTTAACTATTTACTCACAGAAGTAAATCACACTTACTGTTTTATTATTTTAATATGCATCTAATAATTGAACCATTCCATTAATTTAGCGACAGATACCTCGTTCACATCACCTAATTCACCCATTTATTTTAGAACGCATCTAGAGACCAACCATTGGCACAGCTAGGCCAGCTACCAGTGTAGGATTTCCGTCCAACACTATTATTTGGGGGATGGCGTGTGAATGCACACAGCCATAACATTTGTTTCATCATACCCATTGTGTACTAAATTTCGTAATGAATGCTAATCGATTTTGTCTACTTTTTTGGAATGCATTTTGTGAATTCTATTTAAGATGGCCACATCCAATAATTGATTAGATGCACCAATACCGATAAACACCTTTTCATCTCGATATTTTGACGAACAGATCCGCCGAAACGGAATTTCAAAAGAACCTAGTGGAGTACCTTGGCAACTTACAGGGAAAAAGTCTTATTTTCTCATTACAACTATCCGTACAGAAATTGAAAACTATTTTCTGGGTACTATTATGTGCATTATCTTGAAGTCTAATCAATAATAAATCTCCAAACTTGTTCAATTAGAATTTGAAAAAATACAAATAACAAGATCTATAAATGAATTCACAGCCGGTAGATCAGAACCCTTAACAGAGACGTACAATTTACGGGCCAATGTCATCGATGCCACGTCAGAGTTTGCAGCCCATCAGTGATTTACTGCCTCAATATGTATCACACAAAGATCAATGACAATAGTTTATTTAATGAAATTGGTTCATTCAGCATACCAGAGTAAGGTGAAAAAACATATTGGTCCAGAAGTTTTGTTGAATTAGTCAGATAACGTTGCCACTAGTGATGGTCCAAGTTTGTTCCTAACAACCGCTGAGGTTACAAGAGTTCCTCATGACTTCCACTTACGTTGCAATCGAACGTTTTGTTAAACATTAAGAAGAACTGAAAATAACCTATGTGCAAGAAGATTTCGTTTTGCTTAAAATTCGTCATTGGCGGGTGAAGTGACCAGGCACGTGACCTCTAGCCTACAATTCCCTGCAGAATATTACTGAACTGATAATCTTTGACTAACTCCCATACCCGGAGAATGTAGCCTAGACAGGTAGTTTATTATTCAGTGGATGCGACTTAGGATAACTGCTCGACTAGATTTTTTTCTGAATAGCCATTAAACTGCTTATTGGTTCTCATAATTACGAAACTATGCGCTCGGGATTTTCCCATGTTTCAATGTAGAGGTCTTGTTGGATCTCAAATAGCACAGGCACAAGACATATCTCGGTAGACATCGAAAGACCAGTTATGTAACTGTATTGTTCACAGTTTCAAGTCGTTTCCCACAGGATCAAATGCTCCCTATCCTATGTGCGCACTTTAAAATAAGTTAAGTGCTAGACCGAGAATTTTTGTGAAGTTCCCGATGCACGTCAACCCAACGAAATACAAAATGGGCAACAACAACGTTGCGCCAACTCCGAAAAATTGAACAAATATATTTGTTAGTGATCGGCAACTATTGGTTGAGTAGTCACTAATTATTAAGTAGTAACATGACTGCTATTCAATGAAGCGGTTACTACTGACGTAAGGAGGAATTTGACTGCTATCAATGAAGCGGTTACTACTGACGTAAGGGGGGCCATTCGCCGCGAAGCCGTTTTTTCACACACCAACTAAACAGTTACTAAGTACTGGATAAGAATGTAAACACCTCATACGCATGTTATTTTCAAACAACTGAACGCTCTCACGCGTCTCCTTAAACTTTCGTGGATAATCACTGAGCATCACACAATTGTAAACAAAAACTACAGACCGGTTTTTAAAAATTCTGCAGTAAAACCTACCTTCCATTAGACGGTTGGGCGCAGTCACTGGAAAACCACATACTACTCGCATGCCTCATCAGTAGTATCCGCTGCTACACCAACAAGCTTTCCAGAGGATTAAATAGATCTTTATCAATCAGCAATTCGTTTTTAGACGAGTATTAAGACCATACTTTTGGTAAGTTACTACAATCTGCCGCATAACACTTAGGAAAAACAGAAAATACATATCTGCCAAGATACCGTTTGTGTGGCTACGAAACCTGAGGTTAGGACAGCGTAATGCAAACTGACAACAATGTCGCCTCCAACACGTGTGTTACAATCCTTTGATCCCCTTATCTTTGGTGAGCGGGCCTTAGCAGCTGGGACCCACCACTTCGGTGCACTGTTTGTAGTGGTAAGACGGAAGTGTCACCTAGTTCAGTAAGTCGCTCTCCACCTACTCGACAGAATTTTTCAGCGAAAGTGAACCCAAGCTTTGATTGTCCAATCGCCAGTGCTGTGTTATTTCGTTGATCCCGTAGTTTAACATAATCAGCGACAAATGACGAACGTCGGCCCCAAATGCTGTAAGGCCAGCCGTATACTGGAACAATTGTGAGTGGATAAATTTGGACATCCAATGAGGCATACAAAGAGTGGTTTTTGTAGTGTGATAAAGTCTAAGTCTAGGTAGTAAAAACTTAGATTCTAATGGAGTGCAGGCCTCTTCTTAAATGACGTCTGGGGGCACATCCCCTTGTTCAAGATCAACGACATTCCAAACAAACTTACAGGTTTTTTGAGAATATTCATCTTACTCGCCACACTAGATAGTTTGTCACAAAACAAAATCAGAGTACAGAGTAACATTTGATCTGGTGTTCTTTATCTAACTTTTATCAATGTTCACTCAATTTCTGTGAGAAACACCCGAGAATGAGTGATTCTGTGGTCAAATTAGAGATAGATTTTTATTTTCAAAGACTGTCTTGAATATGTTATTCTGAACGGCAACGTCAGCGGATCAGTCACCTGATCCGCGGCAGTCTAAACGGGAAAGCATTGGTTCCTGGAAGTGACAGCTACTGCTCAAACGCGACGTCCTCCAATATCATTGCTTCTGTTTGGATTTGAAGCATTTGGTATTCATTAAG